CGGGGCCCAGTTTCAGAATGTTAAGCAGCGGCTTCTGCCCAGCGTGGCTCATCACGGACGCGCAGCCCTCGGACAAGGACATGGGCGCAGATGTGCAGGAGCCGCCGAAAAAGAAGGCGCGGAAGTCGGCTGCGGGAGTCGAGTACGAGCCTCACGACACGCACGAAGTTCATTACGAGCCGATGCCGATCGAGATCATGGTGAATGGCGAGGCCGCCATCTTCGACTACACCAGGCCGTACCTGAAGGACGTCACGGGCGACGGCAAGGATGTGCACGACATCCCGCGCCACCGCAGGGCGGTGGACAGCGACGAGATGGACGTCGAGAAGAAGGCCAGGGCGCCTAAGGGCGCCTCTGGCTTTGCAGCCCACTAAGTGGGCAGAGTGGGCAGCATGGCTCCCAGGTGGCAACTCAAGGTTGAGGGAGGGAGGGAGAGGATGACGGAGGAAGGAGGGAGGAAGGGAGGAGGAGCCATGCGCACACGCGTCACACGTTTCTGGCCAGCAGCGCCACGCAGACGCATCTTTTTTTGTTGTTTCTCTCTCTCTCTCTCTCTCTCTCTCTCTCTCTCTCTCCCTCTCTCTATTTTTCTCTCTCTCTCTCTCTCTCTCTCTCTCTCTCTCTCGTTTCTCTCTCTCTCTCTCTCTCTCTCTCTCTCTCTTTCTCCCAAGTAGGTACATCGGAATTGCTACAGCCAAATCAAATCGGAGACGCCTGAGACAGTGCGGTGACCGTTTCCCCAGGGTCGCATTTTTACTTCCTCCTTCCACTCCTACCGCTCCTCCTCTTTGCTTCTGGCACTTGCTTTTTAGTGCCTTCTCTTCCGAGTCGCGCAGTAGGATCGTCCCCCTAGCGAAGCAGAGTTAGAGAGTGGAAAAAAAACGACAGAAAGATTCGTGTTCTGATTTGTCGGCGCTGGACTTTAGTAATCTTGAGGTCAGGGACGAAAGCGAAAACAATTGATTCAGGCCAAGGCTTGGTCAACCGAGTTTCTGGACAGAAAGCGAAAAGTCATGACATCGAGAGCTTCAGAGTAAACCAAACAACCCTCCAGGAAAAAATAAATAACACAAAAATTGAACCTATAGAGCCGGTGATTCCAACATCGACCTTCAGAAATCGATTAAAAGCTATCCTGGGTGGCAGCCCCAGGAGCCAGGAGGAGGCAGAGTAGCCATCACTTTCCCCCTCCTCCAAACTGCTCACGTTGCACCCCCCCCCCTTACGCCGCTGCAGCGGTCTAGGACTATACCCAGTCCCCTAATTCAATCGCGAGGCGATCGCGTGCCATCGCGCGGATGGTATCGGGGTCGCGGCGCATCGCGATCGCCTCGGCCAGCTGGACCGTGTTGATCTTCCAGAACCCCGGCCGAGGCGCCCCGCCGGCGCGCTTCTTCTTCCGCGGCGGCTGCTGCTGCTGCTGCTGCGTGTTGCTGATGTGGACGGCTGCTGCTTCAGCAGCTGCGGCTGCGGCGGCTTCGGCTGAGGCGGCGGCAGCATCTGCGACTTGCTGCTGGCGCTGCTGATGCTGCTGCTGCAGCAGCTGATGCTGCTGCACGGCGGTCGCCAGCTGTGCCTGCCACTGCTGCTGCGTGTGCGGCCACTGCTGCTGCTGTTGCTGCTGCAGCAGCTGCTGCTCGTGCCACTGCTGCTGCATCAGCTGCTTACGCATCAGCTGCTCCTGCTGCTGCTGCCCGCGCAACTGCTCGCGCTGCAGCTCGTGCCACTGCTCCCACTGCTGATGCTGCTGCAGCAACTGTGACTCGTGCCACTGCCTGCCCTCCTGCGGGTTGACGGCCCCCCGCTGCGGCTCGCGCCACGCCTGTGGCTGCTGCGGCACGCGGTGCTGCAGCGCCGCCGTCAGCATGCCCTGCAGCTCCGCAATGCCGACGACACCGTCGCTCATCACGGGCCCACGCGACTGCCCGACGCAACGCGGGCCTGCCCTCCGCTGACCTGGACACGACAGCTGCAGCTGACGCCCGCGATGCATGCGACGTCGTCTGCAGCCGACATCCGACGGGCGACGCGCGCGACGGCGACGAACCACGGGCGATATGCAATCACCCGAATGGAACGACTGACGACGAACCCACATTGGAGGGATGAAGGGGGGAGGGTGATTCACATCACTGCCCATCCACATCATGTGCCCCGCACCTCGTCCCATTCACAATCCTCGACGCACTGACATCGCCCCTCACTGGCCCACCGTATGCTGCATCACTGCTGTTGCCCCGCGTCGTCGTCGTCCGTCGCCCTGCGTTGTTTACCACGCGCGCAGCGCAGCTGCGCCCCATCCCCCCATGCATGCACATATCCTACGCCTAAGCACCCGCGGCTGCGGCTGCAGCCGCTGCTGCGCGGCCACTTGCACCCTCCACCTGCCACGCGCGCGCGGGCGTGCGCGGCGCGGATCGCGGCGTGCCCCGCGCATTCAGGCTTGAACCACTTGTAGGTCCAGCCGCCCTCGCCCGACCGTCGCCTCGCGACGCGCGCGCTCCTCTTGCGGAGCCAGTGGATGCCGACCGCTCTGGGGGGCGCCGCCGCCGCAGATGCACCGCCATCGTCGCCGTCCTGGGCGCCGTCCTCGGCACCGCCCCGGGCGCCGCCCTCGGCGCCCGCGTCGCCGTCCTCGGCGCCGTCATCGGCGACCTCGTCGTCGCCCTGGGCGTCCGATCCCGCGAGCGCCGTCCTCGGCGCCGCCCTCGGCGCAGTCCTCGGCGTCCGCGAGGTCCTTGGGATGCCCAGCTGCAGCTGGAGAGCATACACAACCTAACCACACCAACGCACAAACAACTACACGTGCCCAGCTGCAGCTGGGCACCGCCCAACAACATTATCTGTCCTGCGCGGCCTGGGCGCGGAGGCGGGCGAGGGCGTCGGGCTCCAGCTCGACGAACAGGGGCCGCCGCTCGTCGACGTTCTGCAGCACCCTGGCGACTCCGCCACCGCAGGCGACCTCCACGATGGGGAGGGAAGGTGCCCGCACCCACCATTGCCTTGTAGTCCTTCTGGGGGGAGGGGGGGGGGGGGGGGCGCAGCTGCAGCTGGGTAACAAGCACTAACACCGAGCACCCATATCCTTGAGAAGCCTGCGCATCTTGTGGGCGCCGTAGGTGCTGATGTCGCCCCCCCGCGGCGCAGCCGCCTGCAGGCTCGCCTGCTTGCGCTTGCGCTTCAGCGAGTCCACCATCTTCCGCACCACCGTGCTGCGCTGTTCCACTAACCTCCAGTGGGAATGTCCTGGTGCCCACGCATCGGACAATGTAAACTGAGTAAAAGCAGCCCTGCCCACCGCGTAGGCCACTGCATACAATGACACATTAACCCCACCCAGACCGACCTACCCCGCGCGCGCGCGTCGGCCGTAGCAGACGCGTCGGTCGCGGGATCTATATACCTATACGACCACCCTGCGGGTGATAAGGAGGTTGGGGGGGGGGGGGGGGTGGAGGGGCCGAGCAATCGGCAACAGTGGTGATTGTTCTCCTGACGATGCCAGTGGAGATTTTTTTCTCGGAGGCCTGCTGAGGCTCCTCTCCCTCCCTTTGCCGGGTTGCACATGGTGCAAATGCAATTGATGAGAACTGCTGCGACGGCGACGGCGGCGGCGTCCTGTCGGCGTATCCCTTTCTATGTAGACGGACCAACTCTAGGGGCCCAGACGCACCAGTTTTTCGATTCGCTTCCAGCCGCGGCGGCGAGCAGGGCCTCCGAGGGCCAGGAAACCTCGACCGAACCTCGGCGCCAACCTCAAAACGGGACTGGGACCCCTCCCAGAGGCCCGCGCCGGCGTCCTGTCGGCGTATCCCGTTTTATGTAGACGGCCGAACTCCAGGGGCCCAGACGCCCCAGTTTTTCGATTCGCTTCTAGCCGCGGCGGCGAGCCCGCGCGGCCGCCCGAAGGAACGGGGCGCGCTCGGAGAGAGCGGCTGGCAAAGCCTATCCTGCACTGGTGGGTGCACAGGGCCTCGCCCGCACGCACGGCACGCGCGAACACGAAACCGAAATCGATTTCCCGGTAGGGGGCCTCTCCGTTCCACTTCGATCTCACCCCCCAACCTCCGATCACAGTCGATCTCACAATCGACGTCGTCATCATCATCATCATCAACAACATCAACATCATCATCATCATCATCGCCATCATCAACATCATCATCATCACCATCATCATCATCACCATCATCATCATAATCATCATCAACCTCATCATCGGGACACCGACGGGACACCGAGGGGACACCACCGGGACACTGGCGGGACACCGCGCGGCCCCGCGCCCCGGTGGAGAATAATTTGGCGCGGCCGCGCCTCAGCCACAGAGGACACCACCGGGACACCAGCGGGACACCGCGCGGCCCCGCGCCCCGGTGGATAATCATGTGGTCCGGCCGCGCCTCAGCCACAGGAGACTTTTCTCTCGCCCGCCCACGCAGCTTCGCCTCGCCCGCGCGCACGGCACGCACGAACGCGAAACCGAAATCGATTTCCCGGTAGGGGGGCTCTCCGTTCCACTTCGATCTCACCCCCAACCTCCGATATATGTCCAGTTTTGAAACGTGAAGCGGAGCCGGGTGGAGAGAGAGCGCCGCATTCGTCTGTGCCTGCCCCGCTGGCATTGGGCTCAAAGTGCAAGCCGACGGCACTTCGATGGCCTTCACAGCATGGCTGGCGGGCGAGGCGGTGCACGGCGCAGGGCAGGCCGCGCTGCTGTGGGCAGCCCGCGGTGAGTGCCCAGCCTGCACGTGCGCGCCGGCCCTCACGTGCCCCCCTGGTCAGGAGGCGGCGCGCGTGGACTGCCCAGGCGGGTCCCCAGGGTGGGCGCTGTCAGCGGTGGCCCTCGCTGGCGTGACTGGCTTCGCTGGAGGGCTCCTGGCCGCGCGGTGGCTGGGCTCCTGGCAGCCGATCGCTGGCCTCCCGCCTCAGCCCTCTTTGGAGGAGGAGGCTAGAGCGCAGGCGGCTGCAGTCAGAGCGCGGGCCTGTGCCTCGTGATGGCCAGCTCTGCAGCCGCCGCGGCGGCCAGTGGACACCCTTTGGCTCTGGACGGATTCGACGAGGGCGATTTCATCCTGGTGCTGTATCGCGTGGGAGGTGGCCGGATCTGGCACGAGCGCCTGATCCTGGCGTTTCAGACGGTGCCGCCCTTCGGGACAGGGGTCTTGACTCCAGATGGGCACGCCTACGTGGAGGCCATCATGCAGAACGGGGCGGACATCAGGGAGTACGCGATTCCCGCCGGCGCCGCAGTCGGCGCCGTGGCCGCCGCCACAGCTGGGGATCAGGTCTACCGATTCCGTGGTCTCCCTCTTCCTGGAGAAGTCGCGACGGGTGCCGCCTCTGTTCGAGGCACTCTTGGGCTGGGCGCTGGGCCGCCGATCGCGCTGAACACGGCAGGGCGTGGCATCGCAGCCGTGGTGGGCGCTCCGGCTGGCGCTGGGCCTGCGGGGGCCCCCGCTGCGGGCGGGGCCGGCGGCGCTCCTGGGGCTCTGGGCGGACTGGCAGGGCTAGCGGCAGCCCTCGGAGGCGGCCCAGCAGCCGCGCCAGCTGGCGCCGCCGCCCTTGTGCCAGTGGCGGCCGCACCTGCACCTGCGGCAGGAGGAGCTCCAGCTGTCGTGCCTCTTGGCGGAGGAGGGGCGCCCCCCGCTGCTCCTGGCGCCCTTGGCGGCGCCGCCGTGGCGGCGCCGGCCCCTGGGCCTGCCGCCGCCCCCGCGCCTGCCGCAGGTGGTGGCCCTGGTCCTGGTGGCGTGGCCGCAGCTCTGGCCGCCATCGCTGGCGCTCCAGGAGGCGATGCTCGGATTCAGTCGGTCGCCTTCGACACGCAGGGGGTGAGATATGTGGACTTCCGAGCTGCAGTGGTTCGCCTTCACGAACTGCCATGGGGCGATTGGCCTCTCAAGGGACCTCGCACGCTGCTATGGGTGCTGAGCTTCATATGCCGCAATGGGGGAACGCCCCTTGGCAGGCGCACGAAGTGGGTTTCGGAGGGGCACCTGGAGGCGGACGATCCTGGAGTGGACATCCACTTGCTGTGCTGCCGCCTCCTCGAGCTGGGCGTGGTCTACGATCAGCTCCACGTGACCAACATTGCGGCCATGGAGCTGGTCGGGCGGACCCTCCAGACGCAGGAGGAACTGTACCGAGACAGTTTCGCGGCGTCTTCGGAATTCGGCTCAGACGCTGCGCTGATGTCGGGTGCTCTGGACGCTGGCGGCAACGCGTGCGTAGCCCCTGCTCTGAGGGACTGGCTGGCCGCCGAGAAGGCGCGCGAGGCCAACATAGCCAGGGAGCGGCGCAAGGCACGTGAGGAACGACTCCTCGCAGCCGGCGGCAGCTCTGGCGACGGGCGCGGCAGCGATGGCCGAGGTCGAGGGCGCGGCCGCGGCCGCGGACGAGGCAGAGACGGCGGGAGGGGCGGCCGCACAGCCCCAGACGGCCATGGCTGAGAAGCACCAGGGGGGGGCACTTGGGCCAGCCTCTCCCTGGGGCAGGAGTGCGGCTTCGGCCGCAGGCCCGGGCGCGCGTGGAAGTCTCCGACACCGAGACGTCTTCCCGCTGCCGTCCCCCGCTGCTGCTGCCGGCCCACCCTCATCGCCAGGCAGTCGCCGCTCGGCTAGGCGCGCTGGGTATCGCCTTCATCGTGAAGAGAGGGTTCGCTCAGCCGTCAACGCACTTAATTCGCTCTATGTTTCTCGGTCCTCGCCTCCAGCTGCGGCTCACGAGGGGCAGCACCAGGCCATCATGCACATCACGGACAGCATCGACGAGCTTGGGCGCCCGCCGCCAGAGTTCATGTCTGGTAGCGCTGCCGAAGACGGAGCCCTCCGGGAGCTCCTCTCTTGCGCCAACCTGTACGGTACTGGCGCCGCGACGTCGACCCCCTACGTCAGCGACAGAGTCGCATGGCCTGCCGCGGGTGGGACCCCAGTGGACATCGTCGAGCTGGTGCCGCCCGTGGATAGGGTCTGGCTGGAGGGTTGGCGGAGTCATATGCTTCGAGATCCGCGTGCTGCTGCTGCTCTGGCCAGGGAGGCATGCCCGAAGGGGCCTTTTTGCGATCCCGCCCTGACGCGCGACGTGAGCACGTACGGTCGTTTTTGGATTCAGATGTACGAGAGACAGATGGTCAACTTCGCGGCGGACTCCGGTCAGCCGCACACCGTCGGCCTCTTCTTCGTTCCCAAGAAGACGGGGGCCCTCCGCATCATTTTCGACACGAGGGCCGCCAACTGCAAGTTTCTAGACGCGCCCAGCACTCGGCTACCTTCGGCTTCAGCCTTCAGTTCGATCGAGGCGCCGATCGAAGGCATGTACATGTCCACCTGCGACCTGGAGTGCGCCTTCTACCACATGAAGCTCCCTGAGGGCATGGAGGTGATGTTCACCTTGCCGCCGATCAAGGCGGGGGTGCTTCGGGAGCTCGGCCTCATGGACCTCGACTTCGACCCGTTGGTGTCGCTCTCGCCCCAGGTTATCGTGCTTCCTATGGTTTTTTCGTGGGCATTGCATCTTTGTCAGGCTGCTGCTCGCACCGTGCTGTCGGACGACGGCCACTCTCTGGATCAGACCGCTCAGGATGGCAATCCTGGGGTTAACGTGGTTGAGAAGAATGCCGTGGGGGTGGCCGCCTACGTCGATAACATCCTCGTCTTCGGCGGCTGCAAGTCCTTGGTGGATGAGACTATGAATAGGCTGGTGGGCACCTTCAGGAGGCGCGGACTTCCAGTGCACGAGATCGAGAACGCTGCTCGGAATGCCGACTTCCTTGGCCTCAGCCTCCGCGGTGGAAGATATCTTCGCATCAAGCCTCGGAACGTTTGGAGACTCCATTTTGCGATATCCAGTTTGTTGAGGCGTGGATGGTGCTCCGGCCACATGATCCGTGCGGTGCTTGGTCACGTGGACGTCGATGATCCGCAGAGAGGTGCTCGCCGTGCTGCACAGCTCCTATGGCTACGTCGGCGCCTTCGGCCCGAGGCACGGCAAGCTCTGGCCGTCAATGATCAAGGAGCTCATTATCATTAGGGACCTGCTCCCGATTTTGACCTGCGACCTGACTGCAGAGTGGCATACCGTGATGACGGCCAGCGACGCCTCTCCCTTTGGCCTCGGCGTCATGCGACGGCGGGCGCCTGCTGCTACTTGTGCTGCAGTGGGGCGGTGCTCGGAGCGGTGGCGCTACAAGGTCGAGGGCGGGCACCAGGCTCGCCTGCGGTCGTTCAAGGCAGGAGAACTGGTGGTTGATGAGGGGACAGGCGAAAACAGACAAAATCCGCCCTCTCTCTCTCTCCACCTCTCATGCCAAGATCCAGCGGTAACGGGGGGCACTCTGAGGAGCACCTGGGCAGCTTGGGGGGTCACGCGTTGAAGAATCCAGAGGACATCCAGGAGGCCTGCACCTTGGGCGTCCACGGTGAGGGCTTGGGCATCCCTGTGGAGCACAACATGACCGAGGCCCTGAGGTTCAGCATGGACCCTTGGGAGCTCGACGAGGTACCTGGGCACATTACACGCAAAGAAGCTTGGAAGAGCGTCAGTGCACAGTCGGTGTCTCTGGGGGCCAATATTCTTTACCTTGAGGGCGGGGCCTTAGTCACGTCTTATCGGCACCTTCTTCGTAACTTGGGCAGTCACGGCAAGCGTATGGTGGCTTTAGTCGACAACCTGCTCTTGGCTCTTTCTTGTACGAAGGGGAGAGCCCGCTCGAGTTTCTTGAGGTCATGTCTCAACCAGTTGTGCTGTCTGTCGTTAGCCACGGGCTCGAGGCTTTGTGCACGCTGGATCGCTTCAGAAAGGAACCCATCAGACTCGCTCAGCCGTGGGAAGCTGGGTTGGTTCAGCGGCCACCGTCATCTTAGTGATGCTCGGACGGCTGGTCGGCGGCTGCGTCGCACTCTCTGTCCTGCTCTTGCTGATCACGAGGGCGGAGGCGATGCCGCGACAGGGATCGCGCACCTCTTCGGCCTTGACGAGGCACCGCGCGATCCTGGCTGCCAAAGCCACGGGCGGGAGCACCGGCACGCTGGCCATGAGCCTGCTGGAGCAGCAGGCGGTGAGACTGAACACAGAAGCCTTCTACCGGCAGCCGCAACACACGTTCGTGAGCTACTGTGCGGACCGCCACCTGGACTGGAGCACGTTGGGCCAGTTGGACTCGATCCTGGCGGAGTACCTCACCGCGCGCCACCTGGCGCAGAGGCTGACGCCCGGCCGCATCGTGCAGCCGTCCATCGGCGCGGGCGCCGCGTTCCAGTTCTGGGGCCTCCTGCTGCACCCCGCAGACCGCGGCCAGGGCGGGATGACGGGGGCGTTCGACGTGCCGATCCCTCTCGATCTCGACCTGTACCTCGTGCCGGTCCTCGTGGCGCTCCGCCTGAAGGGGCCTGTCGCGACGCTTCTGTGGGGATTCAGTCTCGGCCAGCGGAACCTGATGTTCTTTCTTGCGGCAACGACCCTGGGCATCAACCACTTGCGCCCCCACTTGTTCAGGATGAGGCAGGGCGGAGTGAGCTACGACCTTTTGACGCAGAGGCGATCGATGGAGCGGGTGCGCCGCAAAGGCCGCTGGGCCGTCATGTCGTCGATGCGGCGCCACGCGAAGGAGACGGCTCTTCTGCGCGAGCTTCAGGACGGGGCGGAGGTCGTGCACGCGCGCGGCCACCTCGTGGAAGGGCGTTTCTGCGAGCTGCTGGAGATGGGCTTCCTCAGAAACTGGTGCCTCGCCCAGGTGCCCTCCCAACTAGTGGGGGCAATGCAGCTCTGCGGCCCGGCGCGCGGCAGGCGGGCTCAGAGGAGGCCCGCAGCTGCGGCGCAGTGAGTGCTGCAGGCGACGCCGTCCGCCAGCACCTGAGGCGGCGTTTAAAGGAGGCTGTGCAGCGGGGATCGCTCTGTCGCAGGCGCGTTGTGGTAGAGCTTTTCAGCGGTTCAGGCCACTTCACCGCCGCGGTGCGCCGACTCGGCCTCTCGGGTCTGGGACTCGACATCAGGCATGGGCCTCTCGAGGACCACCTCGACGCCACTTTCGAGGAGGCCATCGTCGGATGGCTTTGTAGCCACGCAGTCGCCGCTGTTTTTCTAGGGACGCCCTGCACCACCTGGTCGCGGGCTCTCAGGAGGCCCCTGAGATCTCGCGACCACCCAATGGGATTCCATCAGTTGAGCACTTCCGAGAGAGCCCGCCTACAGCAGGGCAGCGCTTCCTTTGCGTTCACGTGCCGCATCATCAGACTGTGCAGTCGTCTAGGGACTCCTGTGATGCTGGAGAATCCAGCGAGCTCCTTGATGTGGTATGCCCGCTCTCTGTCTCGGCTCGTTCACTTACCTTCTGCACGCAGTTGTGATCTAGACCAGTGCCAGTATGGTGCACTTTGGCGGAAGCGTACGAGAATCGTTTCATGGCATGCTGGCCCACTTGAATCCTTATGCCGCGTGTGCCAGGGGAGACGCGGGCTGTGCTCACGCACTGCCAACAAGCATGTAATTCTGTCCGGCCAGAGCCCTGCAGGATGTAAGTTCACTGCGCTCGGGGCTGCATATCCAGCTGTCCTTGCTAATGCTCTCGCAAATGTAATCAAGCGCGCTGTGCTCAAGGCGCCGCAGCAAGCGATGGCTAACCTAATCAGCAAGTAGCGTGTCTCCGTGCTTTCTCGCTTCGGCATCGAAGTGCCTTTTTACTTTTCGGCCGCCTCTGCCATTCTGTCAGTGGCGGCCAGAGCTTCCTTAGGGGTTCGGGAACTCTCTATCTGGTCTGACCTCTGTGCAGTCTGCTCCGTCGCCCAGCTGCTCGCCGGGAAATCATCTCATGGCAGTGTCTACTGCCCTAGCCTGGCTCGCACTCGACACATACAGTAAAAAAGAGACAGAGCCCCTTCAGTCCTCAGGCCCCGCGTGAGAGGCTCTGTAGATCTTTGTTCTGGTCCAGCTCTGGCGCTCGGGATCCTCGAGGCGGGCCGTCCAGTTTTGAAACGCGAAGCGGAGCCGGGCGGAGAGAGAGCGCCGCATTCGTCTGTGCCTGCCCCGCTGGCATTGGGCTCAAAGTGCACCCACCGACGTGCCGCCCTGGCCCTTTTGGCCCGTCTATAACTTGCTGCTCATCGCGCCTGTCATGGGAACTCTCTATCTGGTCTGACCTCTGTGCAGTCTGCTCCGTCGCCCAGCTGCTCGCCGGGAAATCATCTCATGGCAGTGTCTACTGCCCTAGCCTGGCTCGCGCTCGACACATACAGTAAAAAAGAGACAGAGCCCCTTCAGTCCTCAGGCCCCGCGTGAGAGGCTCGGTAGATCTTTGTTCTGGTCCAGCTCTGGCGCTCGGGATCCTCGAGGCGGGCTATATATATATATATATATATATATATATATATATACATATATATATAGAGATATATTTGTATGTGACCCCGAACGGGCACGCGGGCGCGCGGCAGCACGGGTGCCGACATTTCGATGGACATCCACCTCGCCAAAGGCAGTGTCGTCGACGACCACTTCATTCGACACGCGCCATGCGCATCCGCCGTCGATGGTCACAACCGCTTGCCGAATCACCGCAATCGCCATGTGCACACCGCGGTCTTTATAACCCCTAGACCGCCGCCACACCTGTACCACAAAGGCTAAGCGGCGACGCGGCGGATGCGCATGCGCCAAATCACACGGCAGCTCGCCGCGTGGGCTGCAGCCCAAACGACGGGCATAAGTCGGGCGAATCCCGCGCGCAATTTGATGCCCAGCCATTGTGTGCCCCGTCTGCGTCGCGCCATAGGTTGCACGCTCGGCCGCCGAGGGTATGACTATAAATCTCCTGGTTGTGCTATAGGTTGCGCCCTCGACAACCGATGACATAGCTGGTCCCAATTGGTTGCGCCATTGGATGCGCCCTCGGCCGCCGAATACATATCTGGCACATAGTAGATTGCGCAGTCGGTCGCCGACGATATAATTTGCACCCAATGGTTTCGCCACTGGCTGCGCCCTCTGCCGCCGATGATATAGTTGGATCATTATGGCTCTTATTGGTTATGCCATAGGTTGCGCCCCCGCCCGTCAGTCAGTTACCTCGCGAAAAGCAAATTCTGGCTAACGCCCGACATGTTATGATACTCCCTGTCACTCACCGCCCTCGTTTCCCCTCCCGTCATCTCTCTCGAGATTGTTGTTTTATCCTCTGGGGGGTAACGCTCGTTACCCGGGCCTCTCCCCCCCCCCCCCCCCGTAACGGTACCGCTCGTACGCGGGGGGGGTCTCGGTCTTCCCCTCCAACATGCTGGTGCCCGAAGGCATGCGCACTGTGGTGTGGTGGTCGCAGGCGCACTGTGGGCGCTCGCAGGCCATTGCGGCGCTCGCATGCGCGATGCTGGTGCTTGCGGGCTTTGCGCTTGTACTCGAATCGTCGTCGTCGTCGTCGACGGCGCCCGAAAAACGGCCTCCGGAGTCCGACAAAGGCACAAAAACAACGTCGTCGTCGTCGTCGTCGTCGTCGTCGTTGCCGTCGTCGTCGTCGTCGTCGTCGTCGTCGTCGTCGTCGTCGTCGTCGTCGTCGTCGTCGTCGTCGTCGACGGCGCCCGAAAAACGGCCTCCGGAGTCCGAAAAAGGCGAAAAACGTTGTCGTCGTCGTCGTCGTCGTCGTCGCCATCGTCGTCGTCGACGGCGCCCGAAAACGGCCTCCGGAGGGCGAAACAGGCGGCAAACGTCGTCGTCGTCGTCGTCGTCGTCGTCATCGTCGTCGTCGTCCTGCTCTATGGCCTTCCCCCCTAACATGCTGGTGCCCGAAGGCATGCTGTGCTGCTCACAGGTACACTGCGGTTCTCGTGTGCTACCATGGCACACGCAGGCTTGTGCGGGGTGTTCGAGGACGAGTTGCGCTGCTCGCGAACGTTTTCGGTGCCGACACGGTTTGGCATGCTGTTGTATACGCGCGCGTTGTGGCGTTCGCAGGCACGCTGGTGGTTCTCTAGCGCCCGCTCACATGTGTGCCGCCGCGGTCGCCGGTGCTCACACGCATGGCGCCTTGACCGCAGGCGTGGCGCGGTGATCACAGACCGCGATGGCGGGGATAAGGAGGAGGAGGAGGAGGAGGAGGAGGAGGAGGAGGAGGAGGAGGAGGAGGATGGGGAAAGACAGTTTGTCATCCAACTTGCTCGCAGCCTGGAGGTCCCCACATAGCGGGGCTGGCGCGGAATTGCATCGACGCGGCGGCGACCCCAGCGCGGGCGTTCATGGTTGAATGCTGCTAGGGGGGCCCATTCGGGCCCAGGAGGGTGCCTTCCGAGAAAGCATGCCTGCTTCAGTGTCTGTTACTATTACTCCAGCCTCTGACGTGTTCGGAATTCTTGTGTGTATTTGTGTGCCAAGGCGCTTGCACGGCCTCTGGCGCATTCAGTGCACAGGGCCTTCCCGCGCAAATAAGTATAACAGGATCTCTGATGCTATCTGTTGTCTTGTTGTCGGGCTGGGCCCTGACTGGGGTTCAGACGCGCAAGTTTTCCGAGCCGCGTCAAGCCGCGGCGACGACGAGGGCCCTCGGGCCAGGAGGTTTCGATCCTCGAGGTTCGAAGTTCGAACTTCGGCGCGAACTTCAAAACGGCGCCCGAAAAACGGCCTCCGGAGTCCGAAAGGCGAAAAACGTCGTCGTCGTCGTCGTCGTCGTCGTCGTCGTCGTCGTCGTCGTCGTCGTCGTCGTCGACGGCGCTCGAAAACGGCCTCCGGAGGCCGAAACAGGCGGCAAACGTCGTCGTCGTCGTCGTCGACCTCGTCGCTCGTCGATCATCGTCGTCGCGCGCGCGGGCGCGGGCGTGGTGCCGGGACCACGCGGCGGGCTTTGCGCTTGTACTCGAATCGCAAACCACTGTGGTGCTCTCAGGCAGAGAGTGCTGCTCGCGCGCATACTATGGCGATCGCAGAGCGCCCCTGCCTCGCCATACCCCGCCCAGCCCAAGCGTTACCGTTACCCGGGGGGCGCGACCGCCCCCCCCCCCCCCCCCCCGGGTAACGAGCGTTATCGGCCATAATAAAAAACAATCTCCTCGACATCGTCATCCTCGTCGCATATACTACACTGTCGCATTCCTCTGCACCCCCCCCCCCCCCCCCCCCCCCCCCCCCCTCATCCGATCCGCCGCCCTCCCCCGCGCGGGCTGCAGCCCATCGGGCGCCTGCAGCGACCCGACGCGCGCGACTGATCATCGGCGCGCGCGGCCGACACGCCCTCGACAGACATCGATGGGTTCATATGTCAGCCGACGCCCAGTCGGCTGAAATGTCCCCCGACACGCGGTCGGCAGACTATACCGCGCAGCTATCACAGCACCTTGCGCTTCTGCCCCCTCTGCGCAGCGGCGGCACATGCAGCTTGAGCTGGTCGCCTGGGAGGCTACGCCAACCGCGCGTCGCCGTTGTCGTCGTCGTCGTCGTCGCGCCTGGCTTCACCTCCTTGGTGTTCACCATGCACGGCGCGTTCAGCTTGTGTGTGCCAGTGTTGTCCGTCAAGACCACCTCGACGGCGCCCCGCTTCATGTTGCCGTCGTCGGAGGAACGGGGGTCCTGCCAACGCGGCGCCACCCGCGGCTTCTTCGCCTTCTCGCCCGCAGCGAAGTGCGGCAAGATGGCAACGTTGAATGCCGATGGTGGCATGCCATCACGCTGCAGCGTGACGGTCCCCAGGTCGACCGCCGATGTCGGCTTGTCAGTCCAGGTCGCGCCAGCGGCCTTCGTGACGAACCTGGTGCTGGACGCCGCCAGCGTGAGCTCGCCTTTCTTGTGCTTGGTGTCGCCTCCGGGCCGCGAGCTGCAGCTCCACGCCCAGGGTGAACTGTCACCCTA